GCAGGGCAAATACTTGATCCTCTCCCCCCAAGTACTTTCTTCCTCTAGGAAGTAGAAGTGATCATCTTCAACCAACCATGGGCATGCTATTGGAGAACATATCTACTGGTATTAGAACCTAGTCCAGCCTATTTGTTTTCACTTACTTGGTTTCTTATCTTCGCTTTTGAAATAAAACCTCTCAGGTCAGGAATAGTGTGCTTTTGGCTAAAACACAAATGGATGTTAGCAACAGAGGCAAAATAGAGTCCAACGCATTCTTCATTTAGTCTGTTTAGGTGAATAAATTGTGGCACTTCTGCTTGGAGTTGATGAATTAAAAATGATGCTTTTGAACAGAATATGCTATTGGCAATAGATGAGTGTTAGCATTTTCCTATAATTGCTTATGTGCAGTTTGCTCTCAGCCATGGAAAACATATTTAGGAATAGGATTGGGGAACCATACAGAAAAGTTCCCAGGTCTAGGTGGAAAGATAGTGAGTAGACACTCCTCAGCTTTCGTCTCTCTTCCAGTTTCTCTTGTTTCTTCCTGTTGTATGAATTCTTCCAGTGACCAATTATTATTCCAATAGCCAGCAACTTTCAGGGTGGGAAAGTCTAAAAATCAGAAAGCAAACTAAAAATAAGTGGCTGGAAGTCTAGGAGACAATCAGGATTGGGTTGGGTGGAGATCTTCTTCTGCCTCCTTCTTTTTGTTTGGGTTTTGGTGTCTCTAGCCCTGCATGGTTAGGAGACTTGCCCAGATCATACAGCTGAGATGGGGAGGTTCCATAGGACTAGGGTCATCCATCTCTAACTGCTATCATGTAGCAGTTGTGGCTATCACACATCTGCTGGCAATGCCTGCCTGTACCCTTTGCTTGTGGTGTCTCACAATGCTGGTTGATGGGAATTGGCTGGGACAGATGCACAAGTGTCCACCCTAGCAACTGTCATCCTTGCTTTTTTGAGAAGGATATCAAGGACAATGCTCCATTTGGGCATGGTTTTCTCGTTGTGAAGCTTCAACCAAGAAGCTTAACTAGGTAGATGCTTGCCCTTGGGGACTTTGTTGGCCCCTGGGAATCCATCTAAACCCCTGCTTCACCACAGCCCAGAAAGGGACACTATATCACAAGTAAGGCTGTGAACTTAAGTCTTCATTCAGGGGTTTGGAAATCCTGTGCTCTTGTGGCTCTGGGGAGAGGGGCACACCGGCAAAATAGAGGTCAGTGCAAATAATACAGGGTATCTTCTAGAATGACCTTCTGTAGAGAGGCTTGAGGCCAGAGATCATGTGAAGAGTGGACGTTGTCCCTCCACTCTTTAGGCCTTCCCTGTATCAAGGTCAGGGCTCTCCTTATCTCTCATCACCCACAGGTCTTACTTCACTATAAGCTTCACCTGAAGCCATCTGAGCCTGGCACCATTAGCCTAGGGAGGTGAGGCACTCCTTCCTGCTGAACCATCCAACGCAAGGCCCAGAAGCTGCCAATCATTACTGATTTCCTTATTCTATCACAGATTTCTCACACATCAGCCGCTTTTCTGTCCTCCCCCCCTCCTTATGAGTCTTCTATTTGTCTCTTCACATTTTCTTGTAGAGACTTTTGGATAGTGGAGAGTATAGGAAAAAAATGCAAAAAAGGAAGAAAGCTTTGTGTAGGTACAATGACAGTACCAATAGGAGGACCTGGTTTTCCATTTTCTGATCAAGGGGCCAATGTGGGCACCTCATTGGTACTGTGAGTGTGGCTGACAGCAGGGGCTTACTTAGGATTAAGGCCCAGATCAGTCTTACATGGGAGCTTAGAAAGTCCATGGGCATCACCTCATCCATGCTGGAGAGAATATTGAGTACCTGGAAAAGATACCCCCTTTTCTCCAGGAGATGAGTTATTTATTGAATATAAAAAAGGTTTTAGCTCAGTTCCTGGTATCATGTGCTCTCAATAAATACTGGCCATTACTATTTTTATATTTTATCTATGCCCAAATTCCATTAATTGCTGGTACTTTCTGAGAGAAAAATCCACCATGTAACATAAGTTCTGGCAGTGAAAGACGTTAGAGACTTCCCCCTTGGTTGTATCCCAGGAAGAAACATGGGCAGGTGGTAACTGTGCATCCTTTCATGTTCGTCAGCGACAGAGCACCCACCAGAGGGCACCCTTGTACCTCTGGTGGCAGGCAGAGGAAGAGCACAGGCCAAGGCTTCCACTGTCCTGCCACCCTGTGGGCTTTTTGCGGACAGCATTTTCTCAGTTGCTCCTAAAATCAAGCCCCTGGAAAGGAGAGGGGCCCGCAGGCTTTCTTAAAAGCATGTTAAGAGGCTCTGAATCAAAGCTTGTGTGGAGGAGGATAGGGAGCCCCAGCCTTTCTTAAAACCACGGAGAAACTGTGAACCCAAGCCTGAGATACTTGGGGAGTTGGGGGGGGGCTGGAATGTGTTCCACCCCAGGCAAATTCATGTCTGGCTTGAGCTCGCATCAGTCTGGTCACGGACAGATGCCTCAGTGGCACCACCGGCCTTATGAGACAAGATTTTGTGGCTCTTTTATGTGTGGAAGACATCCCAGCCCGTCCCTTTGTCCACTTTCCAGGAGAAATGCATGCTTTGCACACTTAATGTTAAAAAATAAAAAGTATTTGGGTATTAATACAAACGTAAAGAAAACTGGCCAGGAAGCCAAGTTCCTTCCAGGAATCAGTGAAGCACACGGAGGGGCGTGTGCTTTCTGATTATGTAAAGCAGTCTGCCAGGTTTCCCTCTGCAGAGCACAGAGGGCACTGTGTAGAAGCAAGGGCTTAGCATGGGATAGCCACAAACATTGGTCATTGATGCATACCCCTTCCAGTCGAAAGGCTAAATGCAGGAAAGCAAACTAGAAGATGCTATGTGACTTAAAGAGGTTGCTTCACTTCAGTCCTCTCTACGGGAGAGGGAGGAAAGGTTTAGAGACTGTGGGGAGCTGTGGGAGGATGGATAAGGTGGCTAGCTGCATCGTGCCATCCAGTGGGAACCATCTCAGAAGCTCAAGGGCTAAGGCTAGCTCCCTTCCGAGGCATGTCTCCTCTCAAAGCCACCCCGAGTCATTCTTTATTGGGATTTGGTGCTGGCTAAAATCCTTGCTATCACAAAACCCTGTCTGCCATTCATAAATATTTTATTCCTCTCGGTAGCAAATTCCCCACCACCACTTTCTCCGAGCCTGGCAGCTGGAGAAGGCAGCATGGCACCCTCACCCTGGCACCAGGCCCTGGGCAGTCACAGTAAACATGATAAACAGAATGGTGAGGCTGGAGGATGAAGCATATTGTCCCTGAGGTGGCTCTGGGCTCAAGCCCAACTGGCCTGCTGCAGGGCCCGATCTTGACTACTAGGCAAGACTTGCATTGTTGTAGTGGGAGCTCAAAGGTGGTTTCTGAAAGTCTGCAGCAGTAGCTCATGCCTGTCATCCACGCACTTGGGAGGCTGAGGCAGGCGAGGCGGATTTCTGTGAATTCAAGGAGAGGCTATGTAGTGAGTTCTAGGCTCACTCTATGTAGTGAGTTCAAGGTCTCACTACTAGAGAGTGAGACCTTGTCTAAATTGAAAAAAAAAATCAGAAAAAAGGTCAGTTCTATAAGTGACCATGAGCATGTGACTCAGGGAAACATCCATGTCACCTTCCTTGATGGGGCAGAGTTTTAGGATGAATTCTGGCCTTCAAATGCCCAGTCCAAACACTGTCTCTGATGTGCTTTTTTTTTTTTTTCTTTCTGGGCAATATTTCAGAATTTGGACTAGAATCAATTGGCAATGAGGTCTTTTGAGAGCTGTGTGTTCCCTGTCTACCAAGGTTACTCTGATACGAGGTTGAATTTATTACTAGACCATCTCTCTACCTCTGAGACACTGCCTTGGTGCAGGGATACAGCACTGAACAAAATGAAGGACAATAAAAGCTCCTCCTACTCTACTCCTCCTACACGACTTTTCCCCACTTAAACTCTTGCTTTTAGCATCATCCTTGGCAGCTCAAAACACGAGGCTCAAACCCCAGCTCTGAGGATGTCACCCTGCTAACTCACTTATTGGCTTTCTTGTGTATGGGCTTGGGGTTATTACCCCATTTGATTAGGGTCAGTATGCAGTTAGACAGAGATGGCACTTGAGGAGTCAGACTCTTGGCTGTCACATAGTTGCTCTTCTTTCAGTGTTCACTCTTTATATGGATCTGGGGGTTGGGATATTCCATTTTCTCTCTTAGTAGTATATATATCTGTATATATCCAAGGACATTGACATGCCTCGACCTCTCAGATACCAAAACCATTACAAGGGACGCTTTCAAATGAGTCTTCTTTACCTTCTAGGTGGTAGTTAAGGCCAGTAAGCATCCCTTATCCAAAATGCTTCAGCTCAGTTTTGTGCTTAGGGCTTGGGATCTTTCTGGATTTGGGAATACTGGTATCTGTGTAATGGGATATTTTAGGGAAGTGACTCCAGGGTAAATGCAAACTTCATTCACGTTTCACATGTATGTAATAAACAGCTTGAGGAGCTTTTTAGATCGAACAAGGTTTCATTGTATGGAATTTTCTATTTGTGGCATCTTATTGATACTAATTATGTCTTGAGAGCACAGGTGTGTAATTCCAGCACTTGGGAGGTGGAAGTAGGAGGATCAGGAGTTTAGGGCCAGCCTCATCTACATAATGAGTTTGAAGTTAGCTTGGACTACAAGAGACCCTGTCACGGAACAAAGCAAAACAAAAGGTTTTGGGTCTTGTAGCACTTTTGATTTTACATTTTGAGATTGGAGGTATTTAATCTGTACGCTGAATCCCTTTGTATTGATATTTCCCTGAATCCCTTCTACCCCAGTGCTCACGGGACTCCTGAACTGTTTTTCTTTGTCTTTCTGTACTCCAGTTACCTCTCTGTTAGACATGTCTGATATTTCCATTTCTTCTCCTGAACCTCACAGAACCTTTTCTGACCATTGTCCCTACCCTTCTTCCCCTTTCCGTAGGATATGGACATGCTGCGCCCGGAACCGACGCTGGAAAGGCCTTCTGTATGTTCTACGCTGTGCTCGGCATCCCTCTGACGCTGGTTATGTTCCAGAGCCTGGGCGAGCGAATGAATACCTTCGTGCGCTACGTGCTCAAGCGTATCAAGAAATGCTGCGGCATGCGCAACACCGAAGTTTCTATGGAGAACATGGTGACCGTCGGCTTCTTCTCCTGCATGGGTACTCTGTGCCTCGGGGCGGCTGCCTTCTCCCAGTGTGAGGATTGGAGCTTCTTCCACGCCTACTACTACTGCTTCATTACACTGACTACTATTGGATTCGGCGACTTTGTGGCCCTGCAGTCCAAGGGTGCACTCCAGAGGAAGCCATTCTACGTGGCCTTCAGCTTCATGTATATCCTGGTGGGCCTGACCGTCATCGGAGCTTTCCTCAATCTCGTGGTCCTGCGATTCCTGACCATGAATACCGACGAGGAGCTTCTGGAGGGAGAAGTTGGCCAGATTCTTGCTGGAAACCCAAACAGCGTGGTCGTCCGTGTGCCGAGCAGCCGCGGAAGGCACCTGTCCGGATCTTTCTGGAAGAAGTACGGCAGAACCCTCTGCTATCTCTGCTTCCCGAATGTCGCCGCGCTCCAGGATGATGATGACGCTGTTGCTGTTGCTGCTCCTGCTGGTGCCAACGTCAGCAATGTCCGGGCTACTGTCCACTCCGTTTCCTGCAGGGTTGAAGAGATTCCTCCCAGCGTGCTGAAGAACAGCTTCCTACGGCCCCCATTCGGCGCCCTGCCTCATGGAATGCACACCTGCCGGGAGAACCACAGGCTGACTCTCCGACGCAAGTCCATCTAAGCGTGGGGCCGGAAGTAGGCGGAAGAGTCATTTGTCATTCAGATGTAAGTTTCATTGTCCCAACTCCTCTTTCCCTCCTTATTTATTATTATTATTCTCTTTTTTTGTGATTACAGTCATCACCATTCCTTTCTCTCTTCCCTCCTCTCCTGGTTTCATGTCTTTCCTGCCTTTCCAGCCAGGCAGAGCTGTCCAAAGGGAAACTAGAGGCCCATCCTCTCTGAAACTCGCACCTGAGCATGAAGCATGGATTCCTTCCTTTCTCCCCAGCAGAGTTATGCCTTACATTTCTCCCCACCCTGCCTCCTCTCTCTGGGGTGGCTTTCCTAGGACAGGTGTGAGAACAAGAGCACCAAGACAGAGCTGAGAGGATGCCCAACCCGAAGCCTTTGACTGCCTAACCCGTAGCGCTGTCTCTGACCTAACTCCTCTCTTCTTCCCCAAGGACTGGGTGGCTGTGTGTATGCATGTGTAACATAGGTGTGCGTGCCTCTGTGTGCAGGTGTGTTGTGCGACAAGGTGGAAAGGATCAGGTACTCACTCCCCCCTTTTCACTCATGCAATTCCATTAACAGTCTCCTGGAGGCTGCTTCCTAACAAACTAAACACTGCAAGGTTTAATGTATCGCCTTGCCAAATTGAGCACATCCAACAAAAGCACTTTTGACCCGACATGTTATCAGATGGCCATAGTTTCAATTGGCCAGCTTCTAAATCTCATTCACTTCTCATTTAGGGTGTAGGTAGGCAAGACCACAGGGATCAGGTTAAGTTGCCAGTTTAAAATTAAATCTTAAGAAGCATGCACTTTGTGGAACCGGTATGCACCACTGACACAAGAAAGCGAAGGTCCGCAAAGGGGTAGTCAAAAGCCACTCGTGTCAAGGTACTCAAGAGCATTTTTAATTTCGGCATTTCCAGTTCCAACAGTTTTCCCTGCAGCTGGAGTTGTCAGGGTAAACAGGGAACTTGTTGGGACCCAAGAGTATCTATTTTATTATTTCCCTCTTCCTAACGATGATGACTGTGACGATGATGGCTCCGAAGCCTCCACCGGCATGGATAAGAATCCTAGTTTTGGAATGCTTGGATGAGAATGGGTATCAGAATGGTGATGTGTTTTCTTTTCCTAATGAGAAAGCGACAGGGCATTCCTTGTTAAAATATATATAGAGAGATATATATTTCAGGAAAGAGTGTCTCTAAATGCATTTGATCTGTAAATAGGGAGAAGTTCACGTTGGTCTCAGGAAGAGTTTTAGAGGCTGTATCTTTGCCTAGTGAGAACTTGTCAATCTCAGGGGATGCTTTTGTCTAGGTAGTGGAGATGGCCCCTTAGGGAACGGTTTAGGCTAAAGAATATGGCACATCGTATGTAGGCCCTTTCAATTACAGGAGTCCGAGGGCAGCTCGGCCTCCACATTCACTGAGGGACTCTAATTTCTCTCATCGCCATCCCTGCCATCTCTAAAAGTCACTCATCCACTCATCCTCCCACTCCTTCTTCGTATACTGGAAGTTCCTGGCTTTTGGATGGAAATGGCCTTTGGCTACACTACGCACGCACAAGGAACGCACTTACTGGTCTTCAAGATTTCTTAAAGGACACAGCATCCAAATGCCACCAGTCCCAAGCATGTGTGCCATTGGGCTGAAACCAGGAGCATCCAGGACTCCTCTGGAAAGTCAATGTGTGCACTTAACGCTCCACCCCATGTTGAAATACCCCCTTCGCCTAGGACACGGGACCTTCAAAAGGAGTCTGTGAACCTTAGACTCTCTTGGCCAAAGTTGACGTATTCAAACTTCAAGGTCTTTATCAGTTCACTTGTTTGAGATTTTGTTGTGTGGAATGCCCTGCACGGGGCTCTCAAGTCTGTCCAGAGAATAGAAGCAATCACTCTTCTTGAATGTTTTTGCTCTGCAAAGAGATTGTTGGCTCTTTTGGGTCACAGACGTGACAGTCCTGATGCCTATATGCAGAGTACTTTATGCCTCGGAGGAGGCTTCCTGGAACACATGTAGGAACTTCCCCCTGAAACTGTTGTAAGATTTGCCCTCAAATGGTGGTGGTGGGGGGTATGTGTGATCACCTTTGATCTGTACATTGCGCTGAGGCACCGAGAGAACCAAGGATCCACTCTCAGTCCCTACCCAGAAGGGTCCAGAAGGTGGACTCCCTGACACAAAGGTGTCCTGACTCGGCCCTCCAGTGGAAGAGGAAACTTGCTTGGTGTCTCCACAGGGCCAAACATTAGGCCTAGGGTTGATGCCAGAGGGACATAGGTTTAGTCTATCTTCAGAGCTGGCTTCTCACTCATGTGTATCTGTACAAAGTGGTCACACTGTGACCATTGTTGCAGGAAGGATTTAATGACAGGGAGATACTCTTCTTTCTGGAGAAACATAGACAACACCTTCTACACTCTCACAGACGTGACACTCCCTTCTGCAAGGTAAAGGGCTATAGAATGAGTTCTCTTTCCTCCTCACATGATGACCACTGATGGAAGCAACTGAAGCAACTTGTACTTGGTCATGGTTCTTGAAACCCTCCCATGTCTTTGGCTACTTATTGCCAGTTCAGCCTTGGAAGAAAGGGCACCAAGATGTCTCTTGCAAGCTTAACATAAGAGCATTGAGGGAGGGAATGAATCTAGGCTTATCTCCCTGTGAGTGGTTCTTCTCCAATGGCCCATTTGTCCTTGCATGGGATCTGGTGAGACTGTTCTCTGAACATATCTAGTGATGAGCTGCCTTGGGGTGAGGGCAGGGAGAAGTCAAGTGCAAGATGGGTGTGGGCCATCTCTACAAAAAGCCCACCAATAGAGGCCAAGGGCCTCCATGCAGGGGGAGCACCACTGACTCCCTTATTTTCAGAGGAGGAGACAGAGATTCAGGAGGGTCAACATATCTGAGGTCATGTGTCCAGAATATAGGTCTTCATCCTTCCTTTTGCCGTTGTCCTAGCTGCTTTGTTGCTGTTTCGCACAGCATTCCAAAGATCCCCTATTGCTGGATGTTATTGTGTCCCTGGCCAAGGCCTCTTTCCCTCTCTCATGCTCTTGGCAACTTCTTTCAGCCAAGTGATTATTGTACCTTTCCCTCCAGTTAACCAAACCCCTTCAACAGACCTCATGTTAGGTTGCTTGCATAAAAGATTCAGCTTCAGGAACTGGAGGCTAGCTGGCTGTCCAGTGCCTGGAAGTCAATTTGCCTTGTATATACTTAAGAAGATATCTGACTCACTTGAACTCTTCACTAAGTGATCTCCATCTTTACTTCATCAAAGACAGGAAGAAGTAGGCAATGATATGGAGTAACCCAGGGCTCTGGGCTTGCTGATTTCTAGTGTTCACCCTATTTTGATCCTTAAAGGTACCCATACCCAGAAGAAGGTGCTGTCTCACCCATCAGCCTGTTAGACTTTGAACAGCAGAGGGAACTTCCCTCCCAGGGTTTTGAGATATTCTGTTAGCTCCCAAACTGGAACCAGATCTGTTCTTTCTTGATCACCCCACCCAGTTTCAAGGCCAATGCAGCAGCCTCCAAGACCAGAAATCCCATGATCCAAATGCAATCAATCACTCTCTTCTTAAGGCTGTGAGAGTTCATGGTGGGTGATTGACTGACTGTCATGGGTGCCAGAAGCATTCAACATGGCTTTAGCAGATGGGTGGACACGTATGTTCTCTGTGCACCTTATTGAGAAGACATCTGGAGAGCGGATAAGCTGAAATAGATCATTTTTAAGCAATTTCATCCAGATATAAAAGCTGCGCAGACCTTGACTTCCAGTGCCATTCTATTGCAGCTGGAATCTAGAGGGGTTAAGGTTCCTCAGAAATCTTTCTTGTCTGCATGTTTTGAGAGAAAGAAAGATCAGAAAATGATGACCCATCATGGAGGCTCCCAGCCTCACCTCCATATATTCTTTCCAAAATAATAAGTCCTAAGTCAGAAACTCTTTGAGAGTGTCCATAGGAATGTGAGATCTGAGATGCATGCTGGAATGTGTCCATTCTACCAGCTCCAAGCTTTCCAGAATCTGTGAATTGTGACTTAGTTCTGAAAGTAGTTTGACTTTATCTGAGATGCATTTCCCCCAGAGCCAAGGTCTTTTCAGGATGCAAAAGACATCCTAGATGAGGAAAGAGTGGTAGGGCAGGGATTAGTTCATCTGTCTTGCCTCAATGGGCTTTTGGAAGTCATTTCACTCCTTGAGCCTCTGTAGCTTTCTCTTTAACTGGATGGTACAGTTTACGGGCACTTAGCACAAGATGAGCTTGACTCACAAGAACTTTTGGCTTGGATTATCTGCTCACATTTGAAGTTTGAGCCACCAAAAAGAAAAAGAAAAAGAAAAAAAAACAGCCAAAATTATGGCAGGAGATGGAGGGCTGGAAAGATGAAGAGACACAAGTGCTGGTATAGAGCATTGGTAGTTATGTGGACCATGAGTGTAATGCACCATGGGTTCCCTAAAGTGCTAGGCTTAGGTTGACTTTCTGTGGTCACATATTGACCACATGTTGGTAGAGGTTGCTGATTCAGGAAAACAAATGTCTATGATCACAATTTGCCTGACACCAACTTTGAAAAAAAACAAAAACAAAAACAAAACATCCCAAGGGTGACAGAAAAGTTCATTGACCAGCACCATGGGTTTTCCTTTACTTCTCAGTACCCCCGTCAACACTGAGATGGTTGGAAGATGAATTGTCTTGCTGTCTACAGCTTTGAGGTGGTTCAGCCAAAGATAACATTGTATATCTCCCATTAAAAGTGCATTCTCTTACATAGCAGTGCCATTGTTACACCTAAGAAACTTAGAGTAAGAATATCTAACATAGTAATATAATCTGTATAAAGAATTCCCCTAGTGTCCCAAAAATGTCCTACTGAGCTTGTTTGTGAACTTAAGATGCCATCCAAGATCACACCCCACACCTGCTTGTCTTGTTGTTCCTCAACCCCCCAATTGAGGGCATCACCCTCACTGTGTTTGTGTCTCTTGATAAGTGATATTTTTTGAGGACCCCACGCCCGTAGTCTTGTAGAATGCCCACGATCTGCTGTCGTCTGCTTGTTTCCTTGGGTTGAGAAACTGTTGACAAGAAAATGATGTAGTTGATGTTGTTTAGCCCTGATTTATGCATTTGATGTTTGTCTATCTGGGGACCTCTGTGGTTACTGCTTTTGTTGTGAATAAATAAGTCATATTAAATGTTGTTTTCCTCTGTTAGGGGACCTAACTGCATCTTCAAGAGAGGCGTCCATGGATGCTGGGTCTCACTGTGAAGCCCAAGCAGGCTTCGGATTTCTGACCTCTCCCGGGACCTCTTCCAGGAGGGGCGAGTGTCAGCACCCCTTCCCCTAAACACCTGTGGGAATGGCCCAGCTATACCTAGACAGAAGGTTCAGAGACATGCCCCTTGTAGGGTTCCTTGCCTGCAAATCTGCTGGGCCACTTTGGCTCCTAGCAGCAACCTCATGAGTGGCGATGACCACCACAGGATCTCCTCATTCACTACTATAGAAGTGTGACTTGTTATCATGTCACTGCCCTGCCCATCAAAGGCTAGCATTTGTTCTTTCTGTCTTTGAGATCTTTGCTCTGGCATGATCTAGAGCACACTCCTTTCCCTTCCAACCCACAACACATACCTGCCATTGCTGTGTGACCTTTGCCCTCTTGGAGGGTCTCCCTGTTGCTCAGCAGCATGGAGGAAGAGGTGGAACGTCTTGGCCCTTCCTTCAAAGCCTTTCCTGCCCCTTTTGTCCCCTGTGGACTTAGCAACGTCCTTCTCTGTGTTCCTCTGTGTCTGCTTCTCCTGGGGAACATACTGAGAAGCAAATGTCCCAAGGGTCAGCCTTAGGAGCAGAGAGTTAAGAAGCACCCACAAAGGGTAGGGAGGCCCCAGGATAAAGCAGGTCCACGCATGAGTTATCTGGCTGAAACAGACATGGGATATTCCAATGCAAATCCCTGGAAACAACCCAAATCCTGGTTTGCATTGTGTTGCTTGCTATTCAATTGCACGTGCCTTGGGGGTTGAGTGTGCCATTAGCATCAGGCCCAGGAGTTATCCACAGCAAGGCACTATGGCGTCGGGGAGTGGGTGGGTGGGTACATCTTCAGACTATAGAGGCATGCTGGGATATTTCTCCCTGTAGTAGGTGGGTCTGGTGATGGGAACATCACAAGGGAATCATGTGGGGCAGTGTTATTTTCTTGAGGGAGGTAGGGTGGCTGGGAGGATCATGCACAACACAAGTCTCTGTACCTCTGGGACCTGGGAGAGACAAGAACACCTACTTCTTGCTCCCTCTTTCAACCCCAGAGCAGCATGGTGTGGAGAAAGCTGCTTGGGGCTGGCATTTTACACACCTGGGACCAACCTCTGTCATTCACAGGTGGGTGGAGGATTTACCCCTCTATGTCCTCGTCTGTTTTCACATTCTTACACTGGAGGTTCTAAGTAGTTCCCACTGCACGGCTGCCTGTGCGAACTACACATGATTGTTTACTGAGCACCTGCTTTGCTCCTGGGAAAAGTATGTGCACTTGGCCCAGCTCAGGGCCTCCCTTCACGTCAACTGGTTGTTGCTTCGTGGCAGCCCAAACTGTACCTGTACTTCCTCCAGACCCTTTCTGGTGCAGCGCTGTACAGATGAAGCATCCGGTCATGTTGTACGCGCGTGCTCTGCTGCTGGCAGGGGTGTGGGTGGTGGGCAGGAGGGCAGCCAGAGCACTTCTGTTCAGCAGGTGTCTGACAAGGCTCAGGAACGCTGCAAGATTGGATCGCCAAGCCAGGTGTCTTCGGATCCCAGAGGGCCTGGTACTGAAGTGGGTGGGTGGGGTGGAATGGGAGCTTCATACACAGAAAATGATACAAGGGCATGCCTTAGAGAGCTGGGGTGGAGGGGTCATTACCTCTGAGGAGATCACATGGGTGGGGCTCACACTGGGGAGGAGGCTTTGCATGGATTACCAATGGAGGGGAGAAACTCCCAGGAATGTACCTGGTTGGGTGTCCTAGCTCCTTTCCCTGCAATTAGCAACAATGTTGAGGTGGGAACCACGTGCTGTTGAAGCCTGTAATTGTCATTATTAACCTTGTAGACATTTGTCTTCAGGCATCATCTTTGTACCAGTGGACCCCAGAGGACACACCCAGGACCAACGGTAGTGAGTTCTCTGGCATGAAGGGTGGCCAGCAGGCCAATGCACATGGCAGAAAGTGGCTTTCACCTGCACAGGACAAAGGGCTTCTTCTGGACCCCTCCAATAACACTGTATGACCCTGTCAGGTGCCCCTTCCTGAGAATGACTTAGAGCACAGAAATGCTCAATCCTGTTATCCCATACAAGGATGGTTCTGGAAGGATTCGGGTAGAGCCCTATTCTACAGATGCTGCCGTAACTGACCTTCTAGAAAATGGGGCTGGGAATTTGACCCCTAAGGGTACCTTGGTTTTGTCTGAAATTGTTTGGGAACACAAAGGTCGACAGTGGGAGGGATGGGCTTGATCTTCCTCTCACCTTACCTTCAACATGGTGAAAACCAACATGGTGAAGGGCAGTTTTTTTTGGGGGGGGGAGTTGCCTGGGGGGAGGTGGGAGAAGATGAAGGAACTTGAGTATACTTGATACATTTGGCTTCATAGATTCCCATTTACTCTTGAGTCTTGACCTCTTTGGAGGATCCAATTCAGTTTTGGGGAGACTTGGTACCCAGAGAGGATGCTCAATTTGGAGAGCAAGGTGGGGTAAAGGAGGGTCTTGTAAACTATAGGCATAGCTTTGCCTCTGAAAACAGTGTTGGTTTACCTCTTGCAGCTTGCTAGGCTATGTGCAGTGGGCAGAGGGGACCCTAGGCATCTTTCTAAGAGCCAGCCCATCTTTCCCTTTCTTTCTCATATACAGCAAGGCCATAGGAACTTGGCAAGTCATTTCTCATCTCTTCTATAGAGGATGGAATGGCCAGGCCAGAAGCAAGTGTTTTTGTTACATACTGGTACAGAGGAGATGAAACTCACGTCTCTCTACCCTAGACTCTTTGCTGACATTTTGGTGGAAGAGGTCAGAGAAGAGACAAGGTCAAGTCATTCCATGATGAGCTAGGTTCTTAAGAATGGACCAATTACCCTTTCCTAAAGGGACTTGTCCTTTCTTAGGTTGAGCAGTATTGTGAATTTCTCATTGAAGATCTGGTCTGCACCCAGTTATTATCCATCCCGAGGCCTCTCGTTTATTTCCCCCTAACAATGGCATGGCTGTGGGTGCCCTTGTTCTTCTAAAGACCTAGAGAGCATGACAGTTCCAGAAGTGAGCTGCAGCTCTGGGGACATTTCTGTGCAGTACTTAATGTCCGATGTCTGATGTCCATCTACTGGTCTACAGTCACTCATGGATCAGGTGGAGAAACTGTTTCCAGCTACACTGAGAAGGCCCTCCCTTGCCCCATGAGGCTGTGAGTTCTAGTACTTCTGGAAGCATGAGAGGCCTCATGTTTCTAAGATGTGTGAGCTCTCACTGCAGGTTTAGGGAGCAGGGACAGGAACTGGAGCATGCCTTGACAATTGTTTTCATTTTTTTCAAGCTAGGACCTTAGAAAGTTGGGCAGAAAAATAAAACTCAAATGAAACAGGGGAAAATGCAATGAGTGGGAACCCAGTGAAGCAGAACCCACAATTAACAAGATTTCTCTATAATTTGATGGCTCCTCAGAGAAGAATATATTCCAGAAAAGGGCTAATTATACATTTGTTTCTTCAGGCCACAAATAGCATTTTGACAGCTGGTTTTGGGTTGGGAAGGCCCTTCTGAGGTCATCCCAGCCCATCTTCTGCCTTATCAGAAACCTCCACTAAACAAACACTGCGCTGAGGGCAGGCACTGTGAATCCCGATGGGCAAAATATGCATAGGAAGTCAGGTCAGTCCCATTGGTAGAAATCTGGGGTATTTTGTTATTTTCCCGTATGTTGATAGAAAGGTTTACCATCACACACAGAAGACAAGGGACAAAGGATGTCAAAGATGATGAACTGAATTTTGACCATGGAGTTGATAAACGGGGAAGAAGCTTTTTAGCCTATTCCTGGCAGGTCAAGAAATGGTAAAACATTCCCCCCCATAGCTGTATAGTCTTAGCCTCAGCCCAGTGTGTATCTGTGTACCTCATGACATCAAAACCAGCTGAAAAGCAAAAAGCCTGTCGTATGTGACTCCAGGCATAGACACGAAGTTCGAATTAGTGTCAAATGCATCTCTGTCAAAATAACTGGCATGTGCTCACAGGGTTTATTGGGGGATGGGATGGGGTAGGGTGGGATGGGGTGGGGTGGGGAGGTGGGGACATGGGGGTGTGGGCCCTTGTGTAATTGTGTGTGTGTTTGTGTGTGTGTGTGTGAGAGAGTGTGTGTACACATACATGTTCACTAGTATCTTTACATCTATGTGCTTTGTTTCTTTTGTTCTTTTGGGGAGCCGCATTATTGGGTGTTTATGTGTGGTATGGTATAGTGTGAATGCCTGGGTTTGGTTTTAAAGCTGCCAAAGGCTGGCTAGAATGCCCTCATGGGACGGGTGATGAAAACTTGGAGATTTCCACAGGAAATGGGGTTGAAGTACTCTCTGGCCATTGTCACATTCCAGGCGGGTGGCATACCGTATTCTGAGCCCTGGTGGGAATCTACCTTTCTGTTCTAGGGTTGGTGGGTGTACTTGCATTGATAGGTCCAACACAGGTACTAGGCCTTTGGTGGAACCCTGCACTGGAAGAGGCAACACCAGCGATCCCCGGCCAACTACAGAATCACCTGCGCTCCTGTGTGTGTCCTGTGTTCATCCTCTCTGCCCACTCAGCCTTCGGGAGAGAGCACCTTCACAGATGGCCTTAGAACATAACAACCATCAAGAGAACATCAGATGTATTTATTTTGTAGCTTACCTGAGGGAAAAAAAAAAGAACAAACATACCTGTATCACCAATGTTTACACATATTAGTAACCATCTAGCTCATGTAAAATATGTACCTTATGCATCTCTTTTCTTTTTTTTGTAACAAAATGCAGTATACAAGCTGTATATATTTTACATGTCTTTACAGGAAAATTACCTGCTGTTGTAGAGTTGTAAATGATTGCACTTTTCTATTTTTTTTTTTAATTAAAGTCTCTGGCATGTTTGCATTGTGTTCTAGTCTTCCTTCTTTAAGCAGCCAACCTGGGGTGGGCACCCTGATGCTAAGTCACTCATGCTGTCATTTCCCCTTCTGGTCAGAGCCTGCAAAGACTCCTGTGTTCACATTTTGAGGGCTAAGCAGTCTTTTTTCTTCCAGTCATTGGCACCCACTGTGGCTTCTAAGCACCCAAGCTTTTGGGCCTTATAGGTATACTTGGGACTGTGGGGGCTGTGAGCCCAGGCTCACCTGTCTTCATTCTTTTTACCCATACCTTCCTAAGAACTCCACTTGGCACCATTCATGGCCCTTGCCACATTTCTGCATGGTTACCAATCACCATTTCAAGCCCCATTTGCATACAAATGAATTCTTTTTTTTCTTTAAATGGCTTGAGGAATTTTATTTTTTAATTATCATATTATTATTTAGTACAATTTATTCACTTAGAATTCTTCTCCTACAAAGTCATCAAAGTCAACTCCCTCTGGCTCCTAGAGATGGACTTGAGGACTCACGGTTTACCTTCCCCATTCCAAATCTGATCCCATTTTTGCCAACCACC